CGCCGCCACCACCATCAGCACCACCTCCACTTTGCCTCCTTGATCAGTCGACCCCGTGCAACGCGGCATGCCGGCTGCCGCGTGATACTGTGTCCACATATGTGGTGCGCTCTTCGTGAAAGCCCGCCGGAATCATAAAGTCGAAATCGTAATTTACTACGATTGTCATTGAGAAGCAAAGAGAGAATAGGAGTACATCACGAGGAGTGACGCCAAATTGCCTCCGGAACGATATACTTTAAGAGAAGGGGGTGAAAAGAGGGGCGAGTAAGCGGAAGCGATTTTGAGAGCTCTATATTCTGCGCGCGTGCGTGTATATATTGTGTACGGGAGTGTGCATGGGAGGGAAAGGGTGAGTTTAGAAAGCAAGAAGAGGAAAGGAAGGAGGAAACGGAGAAAGAAGAGAAGGATTGTGACGGGGATGATCGGGTTAGAGGGTGGAAATTGGCTGTTTGAAAGCTCGTGGTTTTGATGAGGAATAGCTTGTGCGTGGCTATTGGCGTGACTTTATGGTGAAAAGGGACAATGGCGGTTCTCTCCCTAAAAAGTAGTGTTAGAATTATTTTAGATGATCGGGTCAAAAAATTATTTGAGAGAATAATTGTTTGTCGGTATACGTTACTTTCAATTTAGTGTAAAGAAGCTACTATAAGTTTGCACTTTACAAAGTAGTGACGATCCATTATTCAAAACGAAGTAACGTGCTTGTATGTCTGGAAAAAAGTTCTCTTCCTTGTGATATGAAGAATACATATTGGAATATTCTTTAGTTGTATTCTTAATTTTAAGAATATAACTAACCTTAGAATGGACCGTATCTTTTAATTTTAAGATATTCTTTCTTTTTCTTACGGAATATTCGCGATATTTTATATATTTCTACCTTACATAATATGTCCTCCTATTCTTTTGTAATTAATTGATCTTTTTTTAGTCTTAGTTAATCGTTTCTTCTTCAGAAAAGCATAATCAATTTTACAATGGTAAGCTGATTCTAATCGAAGAAACAACAGCTCGACAGTAGGCTAAAAAAATTTTTTTATCGAAGGAATTAAATTGCAAATGTTATTTTTTTACATTATTAATTATTTTTTTACGTTAGGAAAATAAAATTAATTATGTGATAAATGACTGAAAATCAAATTTTGAGTAATAGATATTATTTCTACCAGATATTTCGAATGATCGAATGTTTCAATTTAAAGTCATTGGATATATGCTAAAACGTAAAAATGAGATGTATGTACTTGTCAATTATATATATTTAATAAATTAATCGATATACATGAGCTTTTAATGGTTCTAAAAGCAGATCTTAAGATCTATGATAAAGTAATTTTTTCAAAGAAAAATTCTTTTCTTATAAGATTTTCTGATAAGATTTTTTCAATCTTAATGAAATTTTTAATAATTTTAGATATCCAATTTGATGTTTTAATAAATATTTAAATTGTACGAAGTGATGGATGCTTAACGGTTTAATAATATGCATACATCGTCGCAGGATTTTATCTTTGGTTCATGCACCTTTAATGATGATTCGTGGTGGACTGTATTATTGCAATCGACACCGTGCGGTATTCCGGTGTTGCGGTTTACAGCGGATGCTACAGTCGGAAGTAGAAATTGATTCGCGAAATACGAAATTATTATCATGTGTCGCAAACGGTCATGTAATGCGATAATCGGAAAGCGAAGTAGGAATACGATTATCCATGCAAAGCATAATTTACTTGATTAGTGATCGAAACGTATACGGCTGTTTTTGTATTAAAATGTTAATTTTAAACGTAAAATAATAAACTTCCTATCTCGTTTTAATCCTTCTGGAAAGAGAAAGAATCAAATTAATTACCTTTGGTTAAACTGCAGACTCTCGAGCGTAGATAACTATTTGTCAAGATAATAATCATTGTTTTTATCATGGCAAGTAATATAATTAGTTGTAACACATGATAATATTGTGACTATTTTCACAAGTATTCTGTAAAAACTATAATAAATTATCCTTACTGTCACATCAAGCTATTTCTTATCAAACATTTTAAGTTTTATTAATTAATGAATTGATTTATTTGTCAAAGTGTATATATCTCATTTCATTCTTCTTTTTTTTAAATAGGCGTAAAGAATCGATAAAGAAAAATTACTGTTCCATTGCGGAAATGTTGACTTTCCATTCGCTAACTTGTTGAGTCTCTCTCTCTCTTGGTAGATACGTTGCTCATGGGACACGCTTTATGACAATTCTAAATCTTTTTATGTGGATATTATTTTTAAATGATCTATAAAAGTTTTGTAACAAACAGAAATATCCAGTGTAATATATTGATAATGCATTGTGGAATTCAATGTATAATTTACCTTTTAACAAAATATTTTGATTTATAGCATTGATATTTCAAGTAATTAAACAGAAATTTGTTGTTTCATTATATTCTTATACAATTATCATGCATCATATATAAATAAAGAAATTAATTCTCAACTTAATTTATTAATAAATTAATTTATTAATGTTCTTGAAGCAAATGTAATTCAAATGACTAGCATCATTGTACAAAAGATGATTTTAGAAGAGTAGAGCATTTTGGAGGAATAAAGTTGCCTTTGTGCAAACTGTGGTTTTATAATGAATTATGATTAAAAGAGATTCAACATATTTTTATTTTTTTATAATAATACTTAATAACTATACGAAAAATGAGTTATTTTTGTATTTTAATCTTTATTCCTTCGCGAGTTTTGTAATTATTGCGCGAGAATTAAAAGTTAAATGTGTAATCGCGATAGCAGAATTATTTTTTTATTCTAGTTTAATGCACAATGTATTTTAATGCCAATCCTTAGGCAAATCGAGCAATCCAATAAATACGAATTCATTAAATTGTATTTATTTATCTGTGATATTATAGCGGATTGCGAAGGTTATCGTTTTTCAGAGACCGATATCAAATATAAATGCACAGAGCGATAAAAACATGGTGAGTGTCTTTTTATAGAATGGCAAATTATTTCTCCGCTAAAAAGCAACACGCAAAGTGCATTGAGTGCAACTTGAACAAGATCGACGATTCCTAAGGAAACTCTATCCTTCAAAATCGCCTTACTCTTTACGAAAGAAAGAATCACTCTTCCGGCATCTCCCGTCCGATCTCGCGATCTTTCCGATGCACCGTATGCATAAGAGGAACCTCCTTCCCAGACGGTGACGACGAAGACGAAGACGAAGACGAAGACGAAGACGAAGACGAAGACGACAACGACAAGAGACAACGCCCGAAGCGTCTCTCTTCTGAAAATCTGACGAGGTCGTCTGAAAACTCGACGAGTTCATTTCCCCATAACGCCAACGTTCACGCGGGGGTATCGCATATATTGCGGAAGAATATCGATGGACAAATAGTCGAGTCACACAGTGTGCACCTATTTCCATTGTCCAGAAAAGGATTTTTGAAGAGACACTCGGAGACGTCTGTCTTGACCGATTAGCGAAACTGTGTTCCTTATCGAGTGCGGTTAAGATATTCGGTCTGATTATGAGTTCTTGGATGAACTGTCCGTCCTCTTTGCTGCTGTTGCTGTTAGGCTTGAGCCTGCACAGCGCGTGCATCACGCGAGCGAACGTTGCCGGTCAGCACGGTAGTCAAGACGGTGGTCACGAGTCCTTAGTGGTGGAGACTACTAGTGGGCTGATGCGCGGTTTCTCTCGCACGGTGCTCGATCGTGAGGTTCATGTGTTCTACGGAGTGCCATTCGCGAAACCTCCCGTTGGGCCTTTGCGATTTCGCAAGCCGCTGCCGATCGAGCCCTGGCACGGGATTCTGAACGCTACCACCTTGCCCAATAGCTGCTATCAAGAGCGCTACGAGTACTTTCCAGGCTTTGAGGGTGAGGAGATGTGGAATCCTAATACCAACATCTCCGAGGACTGTCTCTACCTCAACATTTGGGTGCCGCAGAAGTTGCGTCTACGTCACAAGGAGTCGCCAGACAACGTTGGTAATAACGGTATGGCGATATTGGTCTGGGTCTATGGCGGCGGCTTCATGAGCGGCACCGCCACCCTGGACGTATACGATGCCGACATTATGGCGGCGGCCGGTAATGCGATCATCGCTTCGATACAGTACCGTGTCGGGGCTTTTGGCTTTCTGTATCTCAATCAGCACTTTGTCAATAGCGAAGAGGCGCCGGGTAACATGGGCCTCTGGGACCAGGCCTTGGCTCTCAAGTGGCTCCGTGAAAATGCGCGCGTCTTCGGCGGCGATCCCGATTTGATTACGATCTTTGGCGAGTCTGCGGGTGGTAGTTCAGTGTCCTTACATCTCATCTCGCCGGTCACGCAAGGTCTAGTGCGTCGAGGTATCCTTCAGAGTGGCACCCTCAACGCCCCATGGAGTTACATGACCGGCGAAAAGGCAAACGAGGTGGCTCGTGTACTGGTAGACGATTGCGGATGTAATTCGACAATGCTGCAAGAAAATCCGGCACGTGTTATGGCCTGCATGAGATCGGTGGACGCGAAAACTCTCTCCGTGCAGCAGTGGAATAGTTATTGGGGCATTCTCGGCTTCCCGTCGGCGCCCACCATCGACGGGGTCTTCCTGCCTAAGGATCCATTGGACTTGGTCAGAGAGGCGGATTTCAAGAACACCGAGATCCTGATTGGAAATAACGAGAATGAAGGTAGGAAACACTGGCGGTGCGATGCGTTGCGACACAATGCCGCGACGTGTGCGAGAGTGTTGTTTCACGGGAGAATTATTACTGACGTTGTTTACGGTCGGCTGTGCCAACGGTTAAAGCCAAAAGCTATGTGGCCGGTTCTTTGTGAATGAGAATATGTGTTTTCTCTGTTCGGAGATTATGTTCTTCGGACAGTTCCGGCAACGGAATGGTCACGGAGTGGGTTGTATTTTCTGGTTGCGATTATTTCAGTACATGTACAGTGGATGAGAATTCAAGCTTACTGCAATTTGCTATAACTTACAATCAGTTTACGCATTAGTGTGAAAATCTGAACTGAAGATATAGAGATTTATATATTAAACCTTTTCTTAAATACACCTTTTTATTCCATTTGTCTTTTTAATGCCACTTTTCAGTCTACAGAAAAAATATTTTTGCAAATATGTGAAATTACATGCATGAAGTTACATACATTATATTATAATTGTTATATACTAAATTTTTATCGATACATTTGACATATTTGATTCTTTGATTTTTAAATTGAAAGACAATTGTGGAAGATTTAGAAACTGTTTCTCGAATTAAAGTAATCAGTTTAGCTAAAATTTAATGCAGAAGTGTATATTAAATTATTACATCGTCGATTTAGCGTTTATGATGTTAATTTATAAATATTGATGTTATATAAAGGCCAATTAAACGTAATCTTCAATCTCAGCAATTTTCGTTAATTGCATCTCACGTTATAGCTAGCTAACCATTCTATTCTTTGTGCATTATGCATGTTATACGCAAGTATGCTCGCGATTTAATTGTTGTGCGATTATATAGTATAATTCTATTTCACTTTCTAGGCGTGCGTATTTCTCATGATAATTCTCAAATCGTAAAATAGGGACAGAAAAGAGAATAAGATCCAAGGATTGCAGAATTATGAATGAGATTTAGCTATCTCCATCTTTGCAGTATTAATCGTCTACGTCTATGCTGTTGACGTAGTCAACAAAGTTCTGACATTTAGAAGCACCATTTTTTTCATTCAATGATATCAATAATCAAACTGGGTTACTCCAGATAGAGCTGCATAATGATAAAGACCTGTTTACGTCGCGACCAACCGCTTATGCAGTTCTGGTGTATATCGATTAAATGACCAATAGTGAAACGACATGTATGTAGCTATCCTCCAACTTCACTCGTATATGTTTCTCTCGTTGATGAGAGGATTATTGATATATTATCTTTAATTTCTACAATGTTCCATACGATATTCTGCCCTCATATCAATGATATTTATTTAGCTTAAAGATCAGAAATCGTTATATTAGTTATACTCATGAGAATAACGTAGGTAGATATGTCTTGTATTGGAATTCAAATACGTGAGTTATTTTTACAATTACATAAAAATTTATGTTTGATATTACTATATTAAAGCAGTGTTTTAATTTAATATCAAACATTTGTGCAAGAGCTTGAGTCGTATTTTTCAATAATTTTAAATGCTTTATGTTTTAAAGATGTGTACGCACAATGTTACACAAAACTCTTTTTTTGAAGAATTTTGAATTATATAAACACGTTACAATTAGTATTATATGTGCCTCTGTGTGTATGTGGGTGTGCGCGCGCGCGTGTACACTTTTTATCAGTTCATTTTATGAATTAAATATTAAAAGGATTAATAAATGTAGAGAAGGTGTTTTTTTTTAAATTGATTGTTTATTATGCCATCGCTTAAGCAATATTCTAGTAATTCAAATGGAAATTTAGACAACGCTATCGTATATCCTTATTCTCGACACGCGAATATTACTGTCAATTTATAATGACCATATTGCTTCCTACGCAGGATCGTTATCTTATGTTTGATTATCCAGGCATTCTCTGTTGCTGGCGCATCTATCGAGCATGCAAATGCCGCGGTAATAAATCGGTATTGTCTGTAGAAACCGCGTACACCGCGTACACATTCAGTGCGTGCGGAGTTTAATTCAAAATACAATATAACTAAGCTTCCATGCTAAATCGGTTAATCAAACTTTGGTATTGACAGCGAGCCACCACCACGCGCAATTCTGCCTCCTTTTATTTATAGTTTTTCGAGAGAGAGGGAAAGAACGTAAGGGAAAGAGAGATATTGAGATTCTGTCTCGTTCGAATTGATTTCCGTGCATCTGAATGCACGATATGGTGATAATTTTTAATTCATTAAAAATAAATCAGTAAAATAGATTAAATAACGAGCGAAATAAAAATAAAGCGCCAAACTAATGCTAAAAGTGGATCGAATTTTGCACGTATCATTAGATATCGGGCAACAGATTCTTAGTAACAGCGGATTGAGGATAGAATACGTCGAGGAGTTTTTGCTGAGATTAGAGAACTCGATCGTATAT